CATGCTGATCTTCTTCCAACTGGCCTCTGGCCATAGAACGGTATCCAGGCTTGCTAAAAGAGCCCGCAGGTTATCCTGTTTCCCTCCCTTCCACGTTGCTATGCGTGCCTCTACAGAATCCGCGAGGGCGAATTTCTCATTATCAGCTCGGTCTGCTGCCTCGTTGGCTGCACGGAGGCGACTAACTGCCTCAGTTGGCTTGGCAGTATGTGTGTTCGTGGGCGTGGGTCTAGTTGAGGGAGTCGCCGGCTTCTCGAGTGGTCGTGGGCGAGTAGAAGTCGCCGGAGTTGATGTTCGTGAGGTTGGCTGAGATATACCAGCCGCCTTTTCACACCTGTTTCGTCCCTGGATGCTGGTGCTACCACCATGGCCTGCTTCAACTGCATCTCGCCAGACCTGCGCAGCTTCCGCCCACCGTTCAAGCTGCTCTAATGCCTCAGCTTTCCTCATTAACGATTTGCCAAAGACTTCCCTCATGTCTTTGCTTGGTTCTCCGTTCCCTAGATCGATTTTTTCTGACTCGCCTTTGGACGGGCCAATGATTGAGATGGCTGTATCCGCATCTCTGATTGCTGATTTTGGCTCACCAACTTTAAGCCCTGTCAGGGCACGGTTACAGAGAAGAATAACCATAATGGGGTGGTTTTCTGGAAGCTCAGAAATGGCGGAAGAATATGATGCATGGGCAGCAGCATAATCACCTCTCCTAAAGGCTTCTGAACCCTTCTGACGATGACTGTGTGAGGACGCAAGAGCTACAGCTGAAACCTGGGGGATTTCCCGTAGCGGAGCCTTTGGACGCACAGGCAGGTGTTTGGATGGTAGGCTTTGGCTGGCCTGGGGTAAGGGGGATGTTGTTGCGGGCCGTGTTGGCTGGCGCACTGGGCTGAGCTGTTCAAACAAATCAGGCTGGGATTCGGAAGCGGGAGGAGTTGCAGCTGCTTTACTTCTCCTCGCAGGGCTAATATATGCTTGTGCGGCCTGTTCCTCAGCGTGCACACGAGAGAGTCGATCTCGAGGCTCTTCTCTACTTTGTGATCGCATATCCATTTGAAAAGCAGGTTGTGGAGATCGGCTTCGGGGAATTTGTGCTTTGGACATATCTTCCCTTCTTCTGGATGATTTGCTGGGTCGTCCCCCTAATTCAAGCAGCATCGCTTCATCTGTAAAGTTTTTTGGATTTGGAGGGGAATTTCCCCGGGATTGAGAACGTGCCTTTTCCGAGGTAGTTGAGGATTCTCGCATCCAACGCGGCTGACCTAAATCAGCCGGTGAATTAAATTCTTGCACTACTTGCTGCACCTTTTTCGTCCCGGACTTCCAAAGGGAATTAGCGGATTTGAAAAGGTTATTACCAAATTCAGCTGCCAATGCCGCCGCATCTTTGTCAATAGAGGCTGGGCTTCTATTATCTACACGGCTGGTTGCAGAACGAGATAGTTCCTCGTTTTGCATCCATGCAGGGACACTGTTGTTCCGCTGTTCGGGGCGTCTACTGTCGGAAAGCCGTTCACGTTCACGGCTCCTATCGCCTAGTTCATCCTTGCCAAATCCCCTATCTCTGCTCCTCGCCTTTTGCTTTGCCTCCTCATGAGCTTGATTTAGAAGCCAACCAACTGCTGCCCGAACATCAGTCCCCGACTCCGTCACCTCAAGGGCCTCTCGGGCCTTATCCGCAGAGAACCCCATATCCACCAATTCAGCAATGTGCCTATCTGTGGCGGAAACGGCGGGAGACGGGCTCCTAGAGGGTTCCTTGATGACAGAAATTTCGACATCCGACTTCGACGCAGACTCAGCGGCAGGTCTGCCCAATACGCCTAGAACATCTTCATCGTCGGTTATGGGAGAAGTTGGCTGAGGCATATCCTTTGAATTAAGTTCGCGCAAACCGAATGGGTCATCGTCATCATCAGATATTATGGAAGGGTTATTCATAGGCCACTTAACATCCTGTCCAAGCTCTAGGACTGGTGTATTATTTGAAGATCTGCCAGAACCGGGCACAGGGAAATTTGTAGATGCATCGACCGGGGCCGACGAATTGAAAGCAGCCAAAAGATCATCTTCATCAGTCGTAGTTTGACTTTGTTCCATTAATTGATCTGGAGTTGCGGAAGATTTAGATGTCTGAGGTTTGGCCAAACTGTCCCAGAATTGCGCGTTGTTCCCTCCATATTGAGCTTCTAGTTGAGCCTTTCTTTCTGCTTCCTGCCGTGTTTTCTGTTCCGCCAAATGCTTTTGTTGTTCAAGGAGGGAAAGGCTTTTAGCGGATGAAGCAGATTTGAATGACACTAGGTTTGCGAAGCTGTCATCTGCGGGGGTGGGTGCTGTCGAGGACACCTTCGAGCGCACCGGAGGCCCAGCGGACAAGTAAGGAGAAGACCTCCCTGATACAGGAGGGGTAGGCCGTAGCTGGGAAAATGCAGACGTGGGGTTCATGGGGGGTGGCCTCGTCGCCTCGCGCCCTGAAGCTGGAGTCCAGCTGAGCCCTGACAAGTCATCCATAAGGTGTTCTGACTGGCACTATATTGACTCCACAAGATTAACACTGTCAGCAGGATACACAGCGATCATACGGAATGTTAGAGTTCTTTAAGTCACTTCTTCCAACTGTCAGCACGCATGGCATTGTTTGGCAAGCTCACTATTCTGGAGTAATTTTCAGAAGCTGCTAGTGACAGGTGGTTTGCAACACATACACTGAAGTTGCCCCACAGTCACCAACAACAGATCTGTTTCTTCATGACATGTGCGCTTACCATCAATCTTCACTGCCCACGTCTATCAGGATCATCCTAGCTTGAACAGGGCAATGTGGTTCATAATAAATTGTAGTAGCAGAGCTGAATTGAGACGGCGTCTTGTTTGGGTTTAGCGCAGCTGCCTTACTCATAGTCATGTGATCATTTCTGGAAAATTGAAATTCCGATATCCGTATCATGTGTAGATTTGGTTATTTTGGCCGAGACAAACCTCGGGATGAGAATGGATGTTTGAACGCCAATAGGATCAACACTATGCCATTCGATATGATTCACTATTATTCCACGAGATATCTCAGAACTACGAAGTTTAGGTCTTGGGATTTAATTTTGATAGAGCAAAGAATGACATCAAGGTTCATCCTTGAAAAATTTCGAAGCCTGGCCCAAATGCGACCATCAGCACAGGGAAGTTGTATAGAGGTTCTTCAGCCTTGGCACGCTTCCATTGATGCATAATAAACCATGTGCAAAAAGGCAGAGATAAGCATAAGGTTTCTATCTCCCAGATAATAGGAGGATATCTCAAGGGGCGCGAATACTTTCATTTTTCAATGATTATGAAAAAAGGCGGGGAACCTAAAGTCACACCTTAGGTAGGGTCCAGCTGACACTAGCCTTTAATCACCAAGGGTTCCCAAAAGAAAGCCTTAGCAGCAGCCAATGATAAACAATCAGCATAGAATCCTGATGGGCAATTCAACAATGGCACCCGTGGATTGGCTTTTTTTTTTTTTTTTTTGTCTTGTCCCCGCATTCCAGCGTCCTGGGAATGCAGTATGAATCGAGCAACCCAGAACCTCTACAGTAAACACCAACAGCCGGGAAATCGGACGCAAGAAGCAACAAAATCAAGTTTTGATTTTGGCAGGATCCAGAGTCTTAGATGGGCCTGTGTAAAGATCCTTCGCGCTTTGGCACCAAGACTGATAACCCACAAAGTGCCCCCAGCTCCATGGTCCTGGGCAGCATGCCGGTTGGTTGACAAGCATGTCTCGAGCCGCTGCGGAAAGGGCCCGCCAACGCGCCTAGTTAAGTTAGTTTGTAGTAACTTTCCCCTTCACAGCAACTAAACTACATTCTCAAAACATTAATTTTAACGAGATTAATAGTCACAATTGACACAAGATGGGGTTGAGAGAATTCGGTTTTTTTTTTTTTTTTTTTTTTTTTTTTTTTCAAGTGTCAGTAGCATAACCATCTTGGGCCGATTGCGTGGTTTATGTGCGATTTGGCAAGGCAAAGCTATCCAATTACTCGAACCTCCTCAAGTGTCCCTTGGGCCGATTTTAAAGTGGAAATAAAGGAGCAAAGAATGAACGGAATATCCAGCCTTTAGTTGGGCTAGTGTATACATATGGGGTACACCGTCCTCAGTTTTTGATGAGGATAGACTAATCAGCCATCAGCACTAAATCCTGTACCACTTCCAGGTCGCATTGCCAGTTTCGGGACGACATGAAAGCTCCCGTCGCCCTCGATACGCGGCTGAGGTCCTGAGGAGGAACGGTATTTTATCCTGCCATTGACAGAAGAGACCGGTGTTAACTCCGATAGTACACGGTCAAATTCCGGGGGAGGACTTTACTCTCTCATGGCAGGATTTCGTCTTGAATCCAATAGGCATATGTGATGAAAACCATAATGCAGGTTGCAGATCGGCAAGAGAATTAATTATTCGAGTCCATATAGTTTTATTAGTAACTAACTGTTTTTATTATGTAACGGTAGGAACCTCAGGACTAAATCTTGGTTGTAACAGCACAGACTCCCACATAAAAAAAAAACAAGCTCGGAATAGAAATAAGAATGTTCCAAAAAATGTTCTAGCAATCTTTCTTCTTGAACACAGTTAGGCCCATCCCTGCATAAAAAGAGCTCGCTCTCTTGCAATGATAAACTTCCGAAGTGTTTTGAAATTTCTCCTGGGGAAGAATTCTTGCCAGGTTATTGAGAAACCCCTTGCTGTTTGGCATGTTCCTTGCAGATAGTAGTATCTTTGCTGGCATTTCCAAGCTATTCTCTGAGGGTCTCTGAGGTCTCTGAGAGGGTTTCCCTTCAGCACGGGCTAGCAAATAATAGTTTCCTAGGGTCCTTTATGGGGCTTGCATGTGGACGACGAAGATTCTCACCATTATCTTGAATCTTTTCCCGCAAACGTGATTCTTCTTGGAGCTCAAGTGAGAACCTTGGAATAATAGATAGTAGACAAACTACCAATTCTAGGAAATTGTGTATCCAGGCTGTGATTGCACAACTGTCTAACGATCATATGTGGCGATTACCTCGAGAATTCCCTCCATAATGGGCGTTATTCTGTCACTACTAGTTACGATCCATCATTCGTCGCTTGAAAAACGGAGTGGAATCTTGGATTTTGTCCTTCATCCACAATCAAAGAAGCCATCGGAGCCAAGGGTTTGCCTGCTAACTACTTCATTCTCCTCAAAGCCACTACAATAGTAGCTCAAAACTCAACAATGCTCCACCAAACCAAACCAGTTGTCTCTGGGAAAGGCCAAAAGCCTGAAAGAATTGGTTCTGGATCCCAGATTTCAAGCGTTTCCTCGGTGTTTCGGGTCATCCGTTCCGTCTGAAAGCCTGGCTGGACCAACTCGTATCAGACCTCTCCACAGAAAAACAGATTTTCTGTACCCAAAGTTGAAGGGTAAACCTGCAAAACTCGGTACACACAAAGTCAAACCTAACAGCAGCAAATTAGATGAGCAGAGCCAAACTGACAGCATGCATCGTAAGCCAGGTAGTTGTTCATAAGCTCCCTCCGCATTGTATTCTTTGAGAGCTTGCATGACTCCTACGCCTTCAAGTTCCAACGCATTGTAGCGAGGACGGTGACCAGTTGCACAGATACTGTAAGCTATCTCCATTAGATTCTCAATTCCAGCCACCCATAACTATGCTTTCCAAGCAGCTGAAGGTTTACACCAGCGTCGCCCTGTCACGGATTTCCCTCGGGGCTGACAGGTCCATGCAATATTTTGATTTCTCTGGTAGCTGGTTGTAGTTTTCGAAAACTAGTAACCCTGGCTGGAGCCTGTATTTAGGTATAATCAGTCTCAGACCCCCAGGGGAGTTAGCGGTGGTGCTTGGAAAAAGCTGCCCATTCTTTCACAAGCCGTTCCCCTCCCAACCCTCTCTTCCCACCAATCTCTGTCTGTGCCGACTCATCTCCCGTTTCTGCCATACCCCCTTATTTACTCCCACCACCACTCAACCTCCAGATTTTTTGCCGGCCTCAGATTCATTCTGTTTGGAATTGAAAGGGGGCCAGACTCAGAGAGACTCTTTAACTTTCTCTTCGATCTACAAGCATTCTGGAACGTCCCCGGCAAGTTACCATCGGCATGGGTTTGTTTAAGCGCAAGGATTCGAAGACGTCAACAGGCAATGACAAAGATGACCGTGAGTCGTTTGTATCTACCAGCAGTGCAAGAACATCAAACGCATCGCTGAAAGTCCCCATATCCATGAAGACGGGAAATGGCGTATCTGTGCCAATCCCAAAGGTCCCAATCGCCCCGCCGCCCGACCCAAACCTTGACCCAGCAGCTTATCTGCGAAGTATCCATGCCGTTCGCCAGAGGTCGAAACTTGTTATGGACAAGGCGAAGAGGAATCAACTCAACCATTTCGACGTTGACTTTGGTAAATTTTCGGAGACGGCTTCGTATGTTGTGTCCATTATCAAGGTATCTGGGATTGCCCTCTTTTCTACTCTCTCATAATGGGATTCATGTTGATATATTTACGAAATCTCTAGAGAGATTACGCCCCCGATTACCATAGCATACCTGCCCATGGCCGGTGGCAGCATTTCGACGTTGGCGGGAGACCTCGCATCAACCAGCTCCTCCAGTCATGGCCCAGTACCATTGACGCGTTTGAACGGACAAGGCGACTAATCGACCTCTTTCTTATTTCAGTCTTGTTGGACGCCGGGTCCGGGAATAAGTGGTCATATAAGTCCAAAGAATCGGGGAAAATTTACAGGAGAAGCGAAGGTCTTGCGGTGGCAAGCTTGGAGATGTTTAAAGCCGGACTGTTCAGTAGCGATCCCACGGAGCCATGCCAAGTGGACGGCGCAGGTTTGAGAAAGATCACCGTGGAGCTACTTGCAAAGGGCATGCAACACTCTGAGCACAATCCATTAGCTGGACTGGAAGGCCGGGCAGGATTGTTGATAAGGCTGTCGGAAGCGTTAAACGACCAAGAGCTTTTCGGTGTCGATGCGCGACCAGGAAATATGCTTGGTACGGCATCCAACTCCGTCTTTCACGAAATTCGTTGTTTTAATGTACTAATTTTTTTATCGTGTGCAGACTATCTCCTCTCTCACCCCACAACTCTCGCCTCATCCGTACCTATCATTTCTATTCCCACACTCTGGTCCGTCCTAATGGACGGCTTGTCATCTATTTGGCCCCCGTCCCGCACCCAGATTGAAGGCGTGTCTCTCGGAGATGCCTGGCGCTGTTCCGCTCTACCTACATCGCCCCCCGCGAAGCCGTGGGAGAGTATTGCTCCGTTCCACAAACTAACTCAATGGCTTTGCTACTCTCTCATGGCACCGATGACGAAAGTAATGAACATACAATTTTCCGGAACCGAACTTCTGACTGGTTTGCCAGAATACCGGAACGGAGGTCTCCTTATTGATATGGGCCTCTTAAATCTCAAACCTAAGGATGCTGAGCGGGGGCTGCAGGCGTACAGGGCCAATGCAACGATCAAAGGCCAGCCGAATGTGGAGGTTGTTCCTCTGTTCACCGCAGATGATGATGTGGTGGTGGAATGGAGGGCTCTCACAGTCGCATTCCTCGATGAACTGCTCGAGGAGGTGAACAATCTGCTGAGCCTAGGTCATGGGGAGCGTATATCTCTGGCCCAGATGCTCGAAGCAGGGACTTGGAAGGTCAGTTGCGTCCTTTTTATTTATGTGTCCCACGATAAATAGCTAACATATCTTTAGGGAGGACGTGAGATTGCGGAGGTGTCTCGCCCCAACACCAAGGAACCGCCCATTATGATTCTTTCTGATGGGACGGTGTTTTAACTTTTCAACTTCGAACCGTCTCAATTCACACTTTTTTTTTTTTTTGTGTTCATCGATTTGACATTGGAACTTACCTCATTTGATGATAATGATACCTTTCTCATTCGGACCCCGTCGGCGAGAGTTTTTGGACCATAGTGTCAACTTTGCACCACAATTCTTTCCCATTTCATTGGATATTCTCATCAACGCTTTGATTCCCACAAATTTTTATAATTACATTTGGAGTTAACAAAGATGTCGGAGAAGAGGGCCATTTCTTTATTTAGCAGACATTCCATTAGTGGGGTGAATCTATATATTTTAAATAGTGCAGAGAAACAAATGTGACCAATTGCATTTAATTTGATAGACGGATATTCGCATCTCACCCAATCGAATCAGTTATTTAAGCTTAAATGGTTCACAACAGGTTTTGTTGGAAATAAAAGCATGTTTGACGACCGTGGATATCATATGTATTATGAACGGTGTTTGATGAGACTCCCTGCAAGATGAGCTTGCGATGCGGAACAGATTCTATGAAAGTGGCCAGCTGGTAAATGGGATTCGAATATATATGAGAACGTGCTTGATTATTGTAGATGGATTATAATACTCTTCAACAATTGATGAATATAGATAAGAGAGAATGTCCGACCTTGCAACTGCAACTATTGCCTGGTCACGTGATATAATGGCAGCCTTCGTCCACTGTCGAATTTACCCAACATCCAAGATAAATAACCAATATATCACAGTCGAGGTACAGAGACGAATAATTGACTGTGCAACTCCCATACCTTGGCTATGGTTTGGCTGTTGGGCTAGATTTGAGGCCAGGAACAAAGAAGCGCAATATCTTTATTAGATTCTTCTTATACGCCCAGGACAACTTTGATAACAAGCACATCTCTGTCCACTGGCAATAATATAATAACTGAGGCGCCACGGGTTATATCGCTATATCAAAACAGCCACAATGGATATGCGGAAGAAGAAACGCAAGGTTCTGCTTATGGGCAAGAGCGGGTCGGGGAAGTCGTCCATGCGCTCGATAATATTCAGCAACTATGTCGCGAAGGATGTCCGGCGTCTCGGAGCCACCATCGACGTGGAGCATAGCCATGTCAAATTCATGGGCAATCTGACTTTGAATCTCTGGGATTGTGGGGGGTGAGTTTGCAATCCATGAATTATGTCTAGTTTTCTTCTGAGAGGATCTATTGAGAGTTTATTTAATTTTTAACGGGAGGTTTATTCCAAGTTGCTAGGCAGGATGCATTCATGGAAACGTATCTTGCGTCGCAAAGAGAGAACATATTTTCCGACGTTGCTGTACTCATCTATGTCTTTGATATTGAATCCCGCGAAGTCGAACGTGACCTCGATACCTATTTTGCCATCATAACCGCCCTCCAAGAGTTCAGCCCAAATGCATTTGTCTTCTGCCTCATCCATAAACTCGATTTGATCCAGACAGAGCATCGACAGCGAATATACGAGGAGCGCTCCTCTCTCATCCGTGCAAGATCAGAGTCCTTTGCAATAACTACATTTGGTAGCAGTATATGGGACCAATCCTTGTATAAGGCGTGGGCAGGAATCGTCCACAAGCTTATTCCAAACCTTTCAGTCATTGAGCGGTTCCTGCAGGCTTTTGCCCAAAGGATCGAGGCGGAGGAGGTCATTCTATTTGAACGCTCAACGTTCCTTACCGTCACATCTGTAGCGTCGGAAATCGGCCGCTTGAACCCCATATTTGACCGTCACGAGCGTCTCTCCAATATTATGAAGTCGTTCAAGCATTGTGCTGCTCGCAATACCCACACCACTCCAGCCTCCGCGGGATTTCTAGTTATGCACATCAAGACACTACAATTCAATGTCTTCCTCGGCCGATTCACCGACAATACATATATATTTATCGTGGTCCCACCTGGCGAAGCGGCATATAACTGTGCTGTTCTCAACACGATGCTTGCCCGTGAAGGTTTCCGCAAGGCGTCAGCATCAAACGGCGGTGACTGGTTCCCGCTTTCCTACGCTGACCCCGCCCCTCGCGGAAGTATTTCAAATGGTTATGTTACTGGGCCACCCGAGACGCCATAGGGTTATTTATCCATTTCACTTCTTTTGGTTTCAAAATTTCGGTGGTGGTGGTGGTTGGCATTTGATCCAACGCAATTCCCATGTATAAAAAGATACCCTTTATTTATTTATTTTTTGTTTTCATTCACATTTGCATATATATTAATATCTGACGAAGGGGATTCTTCACAAGCAAAAATTGAGACCCGATTGTGTGGACCGATTAAAGGGTTTGGTATGTACAACACACTTTTATGGAAATTCCCGTGTCCTTGTTCCTTTTAAATGAATTTGGAGGGATAAACATGTTTCTTATAAAACTCTCGCGCCCCGCTCCTTTTTTGGGATCATTCTGCCCTGCGTATTCAGTTGGCCGGAGTTGCGAACTAGGCCCGATAACAGACAAATGTTATAGATATTCCTTATACATGGCTCCCGAGCGCTTTTTTCCTCTTCTTTTTTTTTGGGCCTGTTGTTTCTCCGATTGCCTTTGCCAGTTGTCTATATGATTCAAAGTGGATAAACTCGATCGAGCCAGAACGCCCACATTCAACCATACCATAGGCTCCCTAGCAGAGTCGACAAAGAGTGGCTGATTCAGCACTCCATAAATCAAATGTTATCCGTTGTCCATCAAACGAATACTTACCTTGATGGAAATGGCAGACTTCGCGCCCATCCCTAGGCACTATCCTCCTGAGTCCAAGCTGCTCTTCTTAGAGGCCCTGCCAACGATTGACGGCCATGTTACCGCAGACGGCGAGCGGTGATATTCGTGGAAATGAAACGTACCAGAAACAACTCTGCGATGACTGCCATGGGATAAAAATGTATGCATATCTTCCCCCTCCCAGGGTGGGGGGGTGTTCCATCCTCTTCCCTCTATCTTCTTTTCCTTTCCCGGTGTCCTTCCGTTGCCACTAAAATGTAGTGAATTTGGGTACCTGGTTTCCATATACTCCATATTATCTATATATTTTATGTTCCGCGCATTCATCCTTCAATCCCCTGACCCTCCCTTCCCTCCTTACATACCCAGTTACTTCTCCGTATTAGTGCATCTAATTTCATGGGATTTTTTCTTGCTTCATAGCTTCATAATAATGCGACAGACTAGCCATTAGGAGCAAAGTTGGGTGTGTCAGACTCTTGAAATATATATATAACTCAAAAGGAGAATCAATTACAGTGAGTGGGATACTGCTGAGGAAAGACTCAGTTAATCTATGGTAAAACTCCCGGCTCCTTTCAATAAGACAGCAGAACGTGGGAGCTGCAGAATATTTGAACCAGAGAGATCCGTGCCACAAATGTTTGAGAAAACTCATTGGTAGATATTGTCCTTCTCACGAAGGGTTAAACTGTCCTATCGCGGAACTGGTCGTCGGGCATTTGGTCGACCAAGTTGGGGAATCTCTTAAGAACTTGATCCAGTCATTATTTCGCGCCCCCCAACCTCTGCATCCTCGTTTTCTAGATTCTTTCTCTCGAAACTGCGCAGCGGTGCTAACACTGCTAGTATTTGTCCCATGCTGTGTGGGACAACTTTCCCCTGTTGAGCAACTGGATTACTTTACTTGTTGATATGTTCTAGTATCGTCACAAGTATGCAATATGTCCAAGCCCGAATTACCATGAATGCTTCATTCTCATCCTGGTCGATCAGGATATCATTGGTTTTGCTGTTCATTCAACATGACGATTCTGCAATATCCCGCCACTGCTAATAACAGGGGCAAAGAAATTCATTCTTTTCAATTATACCAAAGCAAAAACAAAATCTCGAATCGACTTTTGCTGGAATACACGCAACTGCAATTGGTTCATTGAAATAGGTGTAACATTTGCAAGGGCGAATACTCCATTGGCTTCATATAATTTCTTAGGCTCAACGCAGAGAATGGGCTTTCTGGCGTCAGCAATATTGCTCCCCAGAGTCTAAGGGAACTGAAATGGGAATTTGGGGAATCTCAACTCCTTGAAGATAATCTCAACTAACAGCCAATGGTTCTAGACATTCTGAGATATATTTTGAGGAATCTGAATTGGTAGAATTACCCGGGTTTGTATATCCTGGAGGGATCTCACAACCAGTGAACGGGGGGTCTCTCAAACCATGCAAAGGTCCTCCTATCGCCAAACACCTCCAATGTTTTGCTTCAGCATAAATGCCTCGACACAAATTGGGTATTTAAGTAATAATAAACTATTTATTTTCTTTGCTGGCGATTCCTTGTATTGCGAAAGCTCGAGCTTGCGTGCAACACAGCAAGTAGTAGTCCCGACACCCCCAAAACACCTAGTGGCTGGCTTCTCATGCAGGAATAGCATGAATTAATTCACTACGTGGGCTCTTACTCCTGTTTTCTTCGTTGAAATATAGTTAAAGGACAGAGCTCCAGTATCATGTTCATGTCCATAGAGCCACATGTAAATTGGGCTATTCGGTTGGATTTCCCCCCCTGACTAGTCTCTGTGGCCTGTTAGTTCCTCCTTGGTCATCCATTGATCCGACTGTTGAAAGCATTGGTCATAAGAGCTGCAATTAAAGAGACCTAATGAATTCAGGTGCTCTCCACCATTATTATGTCTGCGTCAACAACGTTATCTGCTGCCCCGAGAACTTTTGAACTAGCTTATCAGTATAAACATGTTAAAAGACATTTATTTGTCTGGGGAGACGCCTCATCAAACACTAACCCCTGAAGTCCTAGCCAGGAGAACCGCCAACTTCCATGAAATGCAAGCTGGAGTGGTCTCTCTGGTCCTGCTTCAACTTCTGATACACGCCAGAACACCTGTGGTACCCTTTATTTATCAGTGAAAACTTAATGCAAATATCAGGCTCAAAACCCTGTTCTATCTGGTGGTCAATTGTGTGGCCCACTCCTGGATGCGGAAGAAGACCAAGAGATTGCCAGGGGGATCATCCCGCTTTCGAACCCAGCGTTCCCTTTCAAACGACCTTGCCTCAAAGGATATTGATAAGGGTCAGATATTTCGATATTCGACCACATCGCTCGTTGTGAACCACGGATATGTCCCATCGGAGAAACCTTCCCGGGAAATAAGGTTAAAAGCCCCCATTCGCCGTTTGAGGTATTTTTTGCCCGCGATTGTGGGGAAGGCCCCGAACTCACAGACACCGGACTGGGGTTAGTAGGTTTCAAGAGACGGGGTTTGGAAAGCTACCCTACATCCAGGGTTGCATTGTTCCGGGTTTATCATAAAACTCCTTCAAAAATCTGAGACGTAAAGCCCTTCATTAACGATTGACCGTTTCTGGAAACTTTTACCAGAGAGCCATTTGACGTATCGGTGGTGGAACCTTGGAACGAAACCCTGGAAATTTCCACTTACTCTCTGTGTTCCCTCTATTCTCTTTAGAGGAATGACAGCATACAGGGGAGATATCAATTATTCCTGTGAGCTATATACTAACACAGGGAATTGTCATGCTGGAGAACATAAACTTTTTGGATTATCTACACTGCGTACATTCCAATGTGTTTTGAATGTCAAAACAAAGTACTAAGATCAAGTAGAAAGGAATCTAGGCTTCCTATTATGGACTAGTGTCTGAGATAGCCGATAATAACTAAGATGTCCGATAACGGACAAGAAAGGAAGATGATGTACGAAATAGGAAGGCGGTGAATCCAAAAATAGGTAATCCTCTGTGAGGCAGAATAGTGATGATATTGAGCTTTCCTATCAGCGAACCAAGGAATTTCACCCCCCTTTAACAGAGGTTCGAGATGACTGATATCCTTATGCTGATACCGCTCATTCTATATACAAAACTAGCCCCAAAGGGCAACAACAGGAGTAATAAGAAAGCTATTTCTCACAACGAGAACTATCGAAAAAAGGCAAATTTTTGAGATGAAATGCAAATTTTAAAGGTGGAAGCCGCATGCAACCGCAGCACGTTGAACCAATGATACGGTCCGCCATATGGCTTTAGATATCAGTCGCGTGTTGATGTCTCACCCTCTCGCCCGTCTTACCAGCGCACCGCACAGTAGTTATACCATCCCCGAGATAGCTACCAATATAACCACTTCAGACGTCCTACAAAAACTATCAAATCAAACCATCTAAGTGTTTACAAGCTTAAAGGACCATCTTCTATTGTTGAATTGAAACCTGTCAGAGATTAGTTTTTAGCAATGAAGCTGTTCTGAAAGCACTAGTTCTCATCATGCCAGCACTTCAATTATTATCTCTTATAAAAGGCTATCATTTATATGAAATATATTTTCTTTTATATTAAGAATAGGGTGATTTAGTCTTAGTATATAAATGTAACTCAATCTCTCATAAAACTTAGTGAGAAATAACAACATGTAAATGATATTTTTTTTTATCATATAAAGAATCAGATATAATATATATTTTTTTTATAGATTAATCTAAAGTTTACTTAAAAGCTTATTAATACTCTTACTTCTATTCTTTAAAGATTACACATTCAATTTACGTAGTAATATCTTAATCATGCTGAAAATCATATCATTTTACTTTATCTTTTAAGTTAATATATTAAATGTTTATCATGATCAATTCTACTATTATCAGAATTGTTGTATTAACAAAATCTAAGAACTAAATCAATTGATTTCATAATGTGAGAACTATATATTATTATTTTCTAACTAGTTAATTAATATTAACTAATATACTTTTCAAGTAAGTGAATCATTTAAGTAAGTGAATTATCAAAATCATTATATCTTAACTGATTTGATTTTAAATTAAATTGTTTTAATATCATAATCTTAATTAAATTAAATTAAATTAAATTATACTAAATTAAAAATATCATATTTTTATATATTTAAAAGTATCATAATTGCTATAGTATTATAGAGCTTTTCAATATCATATAAACTTAGATAATAAAGACTTTTATAGTTAAATAATTGTCTATTCTACAGATACAGCAGATAAAATAATAAGATTTTGAGCTTTATTTTTAATTATATCTATTGTATATTTTAATATCTAAATTTATTCTG